CTCCATTGTTCAGTAATGAACCTGAAACTTCACACACACAGTAAGAGACTGTTTCTGCTGTAAACTGACCTGAAGATAATTCTGTTTTTAATGTTACAACATACAATACAACACTGCGCTTTCATAATTATTATTATTAGTTTTATCCTTTTTTTTGGGGCACAGATCCCGATCTGAGTTATTTACAATTTAGTATGAGTGTGCTCTTATACTTTTACTTACCTAAATGTTGATTAAATATGTAAATGAGACACTGCAATAATTGCTCCCAACCATCCTTCTGGTGAAAATGTACAATCCCTTTCCAACAAGACAGACGACAGAGGATAATGTCTCAGCAATGAACAAATAAGTGGGACAACAGTGAGAATAGTTGACAATAATGACAAGCTTCTTCCACATGTATGTAGGAAATGGGCTGCATGCAACTTGTGAGCTGTGGGTTGATCAGCACTCATGTAATATGTTATAAAGAATGTGATTATCTCCACAGAGAGGATAGGACGACTGCTTCATCAGGAGACTCCTCCAGTCAGACTAGCAATGTGCAAAGTAAGACTGTCTGCTGATGCCATTATGTCTGAAAACAAGGATTATTCTTGGTTTATTTGTGGACATTAAATATTTTGATTAAAAAACATTATATTTAAAGGCCCAATATTATACTAATTTTCAGGTTCACACTTTTATTTTGGGTGTCTACTAGAAAATGTATACATGCTTTAATGTTTAATGTTCTCATGCTGTCATAATCCATAAGCCAGTATCACAGATCACGTTAACTGGGGAAGCTAACAGTAGCCAACTAACATTTTCACTCTGATAGTATTTTGTCAGCAATAACATTAGTTACGTTAGCCAGCCAGCTGTCAGCCAGATTATACAAATTTTTAATTTGACTATTGGTTATCCAAGTTCAACATGAAAACGTGATCAAATTCTTACTGACTTGTAAAGCTGGGAGGCCATCTTGCTGTGGCGGAGCTAGAGGAATGGCAATAGTAAGCAACCTTATATTATCACAACTTTTATTTTACAACACCAAGTTTATAAAAAAACACACGTTGAACACTATAGGACTATAAAGGACCTTTTAGAACCTTTCTGTATGTTTGTTACTTATAATCTTTTTCTTCTCTTTCAGCAGATAATGGTCTGCAGGAGGTTTTAGATGAACATAAGATCAGTCTGAAGAGGAGATGTGAACATGTGACTGAAGGAACAAATGAACCAGGAAGTGGAACCCTCCTCAACAGGATCTACACTGAGCTCTACATCACAGAGGGACAGAGTGAAGAGGTTAATACCCAACATGAGGTGATGCAGCTTGAGACAGCTTCCAAGAAGAAGATCCTCCATGAGACTCCAATCAAGTGCCACGAGATCTTTAAAGCCTTACCTGACCAACAGAGACACATCAGAGTGGTTCTGACGAACGGCGTCGCTGGCGTTGGAAAAACCTTCTCGGTGCAGAAGTTCACTCTGGACTGGGCAGAGGGGTTGGAGAACCAAGATGTCAGTCTGGTGGTTCTGCTTTCATTCAGGGAGCTGAACCTGATCAAAGATGAGCAGTACAGTCTTCTCACACTGCTCCATGTTTTCCATCCAACATTACAGAAGGTCACAGCAGAGCAGCTCGCTGTCTGTAAACTTTTGTTCATCTTTGACGGACTGGATGAAAGCAGACTTTCACTGGATTTCCACAACAATGAGGTTGTGTCTGACGTCACACAGAAGTCTTCAGTCAACGTGCTGTTGACAAACCTCATCAAGGGGAATCTGCTTCCCTCGGCTCTCGTCTGGATAACTTCCAGACCTGCAGCAGCCAATCAGATCCCTCCTGAATGTGTGGACAGGGTAACAGAAGTACGAGGCTTCACTGACGCCCAGAAGGAGGAGTACTTCAGGAGGAGATTCAGTGATGAAGATCTGTCCAACATCATCTCACACATCAAGACCTCCAGGAGCCTCCACATCATGTGTCTAATCCCAGTCTTCTGCTGGATCACTGCTACAGTTCTGGACCACATGTTGACTACAGACCAGAGAGGAGAGCTGCCCAAGACCCTGACTGACATGTACTCACACTTCCTGCTGGTTCAGACAAAGAGAAAGAAGCAGAAGTATGAAGAGGGACATGAAATGAGTCCACAGGAGCTGATGGAAGCTGACAGGGAAGTTCTTCTGAAGCTGGGGAGGCTGGCGTTTGAACAGCTGGAGAAAGGAAACATCATGTTTTACAAAGAAGACCTGGAGCAGTGTGGTCTTGATGTCACAGAGGCCTTGGTGTACTCAGGAGTTTGTACAGAGATCTTCAAAAGAGAGAGTGTGATCTTCCAGAAAACAGTCTACTGCTTTGTTCATCTGAGCATTCAGGAGTTTCTGGCTGCAGTCTACATGTTCCACTGTTACACCAACAGGAACACAGAGGTACTGGAGGGTTTCTTGGGGAAAGATTTAAAAAACAAGAACAGGTACTGCTCTTTGGATGTCTTTCTGAGGAGAGCCATGGAGAAATCCCTGGAAAGTAAAAATGGCCACCTGGACCTGTTTGCTCGCTTCCTTCATGGCCTCTCTCTGGAGTCCAACCAGAGAGGCCTCTTAGGAGTCCTGCTGGGTCAGACAGACAAAAGTCCAGAAATCATCCAGAGAGTCATCAACAACCTGAAGGAGATGAACAGTGATGATATCTCTCCTGACAGAAGCATCAACATCTTCCACTGTCTGACGGAGATGAACGACCACTCAGTCCATCAGGAGATCCAACAGTTCCTGAAGTCAGAGAACAGATTAGAGAAGAAACTCTCTGAGATCCACTGCTCAGCTCTGGCCTACATGCTGCAGATGTCAGAGAAGGTTCTGGATGAGTTGGACCTGAAGAAGTACAACACATCAATAGAGGGACGACTGAGACTGATTCCAGCTATGAAGAACTGCAGAAAGGCTTTGTAAGTCAGTCACCATCATAAGTTTAGTTCTTCAGATATATACACACTATAACATTCTTATTAAGAACAGAGCAGGTGCAGGGAACCTATGGTTTTTGTAGAGATTATTTCGGTTCAACGCGAAACCTGGCACAAAAACTGGAAATGATGTGCAAATGCTACCAAGAAACATGGTGGCGATTGACCTAGAATTGGACATACATGCTCAATGTATACTACAAAAGAGCTTCTTGGATCATAAAAGTCTGCCATGTTGGACTTTTTGCTGATTAGCCTAGACAGAAAGAAATTTAACGACGACATTTAATGACATCTTTTTTTGATTTTGACTGTATCAACACCAAACCACATATGCCCAGACTGGGAGCAGCTTGCGGCTATATTTATTATTATTTTTCACATTCTTGAGGGACTTCTGATACTCAAAAACCCATGAAAATTGTCTCACATGTCAGAACTACCACACGTCAAACACATTGAAATACATTTAGTTGAATCACTAATGTGAAGAGCAAACATTAATCAAAATGGGATATGTCAAACTGTCATTAAATATATGTTAATAGCTGTGAATATAAAGTTTGTTCTTTCATAATAACTTTGTAATATTTCATGACAGACTCTCTGGCTCTCGCATCTCAAAGACTCACTGTGAAGTTATGGCCTCATCTCTGAAGTCCAACCCCTCCCATCTGAGAGAGCTGGACCTGAGTGAAAACTGGGAACTGCTTGATTTAGGAGTGAAGCTTCTGTCTGCTGGTCTGCAGAGTCCAAACTGTAGACTGGAGACTCTGAGGTCAGTTCACTGACTTTAGGTTATGTAGTTTTTTTGTAAATGTTGAATTCATATCTTTGAGTGAGGTATTACATTTTTGGCTTATTTGTTCACCTGCTCCACCTCACCTCACTCCACGATGTTGTTGGTGTCATCTGCAAACTTCACAAAAGAGTTGTCTCCATGTCGGGGATGCAGTTAAGGGTGTATAGCTCAAACAGGAAGGGGATGTGTGGTCAACAGTCTGAACTTAGAGTGTAGTACTGTAGAGCAGCATTCAGATTTAGGTGTTGCTATTTTCAAGGTGTGTGATGATGAGGATGAGGATGAGGATGAGGATGAGTGGAGGTCAGTGGAGATGGCATCCTCTGTAGATTTATAGGTTCTGAATGCAAACTGGTGAGAGTCCAGGCTGGCAGGAACGTTGTTCTTTATATGCTGGAGAACCAATTCCTAAAAACACTTCATTAGACTAGTCACTGCAGACTTTTTAGGTGCAGAGATGATGGTGGCTGTCTTGAAGCAGGTGGTAATACTCTCCTGTGACAGTGATATGTTGAAAATGTTGATAGATAAAATATTTTATATTTTAATATAATATATTTTGTAACAGGGAAAAAAAGGGTAAAATTGACAAATTACTACTGGCAGTCGCTTCTGCTGCAATCACTGTGGTAATGTGTTGACATTTGAATGATGTTTTGTAAAAGTCTGACATTATGATGATCCACAAAAACACATAAACACAAAGTCACTCATTTTACACATTTAAAACACGAGTAAATCTGATTGGATTATAAATAGGATCTTGAAACTATTTCTGTGAGTTTTTATTTGCGTCAGAAACATTGTCTACTAAAGTTACATCATGTTTTCTTTATTCAGCCTGAGTTGGTGCAGGTTGTCAGAGATCAGCTGTGATTATCTGGCCTCAGCTCTGAAGTCCAACCCCTCCCATCTGAGAGAGCTGGACCTGAGTAACAACAAGCTGCAGGATTCAGGAGTGAAGCTGCTGTGTGGTTTTCTGGAGAGTCCACACTGGAGACTGGAGACTCTGAGGTCAGTTCGTTGACTCTCTGTTGCTATTGTAGATCTGATATGTTTCATTAACAATTGAACCTTATTTATGTTCAAACATAACTTACATGCATGATTTGTAATATTAGATGTTTGTTGAACTAAATGTAGTCCGCAGTCACAAAGACTTTTGTCAACGAAACTGTAGAAAATATCCACTGTTAGTTGTTTTTATCTTCACATGTTTTTTTTTAATTCAGACTGGGATCCTGCAAGTTATCAGAGATCAGCTGTGATTATCTGGTCTCAGCTCTGAAGTCCAACCCCTCCCATCTGAGAAAGCTGGACCTGGGTGGAAATGAGCTTTATGATTCAGGAGTGAAGCTGCTGTGTGGTTTTCTGGAGAGTCCACACTGTAGACTGGAGACTCTGAGGTCAGACACCATTTTTTCCTTCTGTGCTGAGATTAATATGATGTGAAAGTTGTGCTGACAGTAAAGTGCAGACATAAGGCTGATATTATACTGATCCACACTGAGTATCTTAATGCTAAAGTCTGTTTTCTTCTTCAGTGGTTTAGTCTTTAGTGGTTTGTGTCCGGAACATTGTCTTTTAAAGTTACATATTCATTTTCCTTTTTTCAGATTGAGTGACTGCAGTTTGTCAGAGATCAGCTGTGATTATCTGGTCTCAGCTCTGAAGTCCAACCCCTCCCATCTGAGAGAGCTGGATCTGAGTCTCAACAATCTGCAGGATTCAGGAGTGAAGCTGCTGTGTGGTTTTCTGGAGAGTCCACACTGTAGACTGGAGACTCTGAGGTCAGTTCACTGACTCTCTGTTACTGTTGTAGATCTGATATGTTTAATTAACAATTGAACCTAAATTATTTTCTCACATAACTTACATCCATAAAGTTGTAAATGTACTTTGTTGAACTAAATTTAGTCCGCAGTCACAAAAGAGTGTCATTGATATTGATCCTTCAAAATACACACACTCTGATTTCAGAGCTGACTAAGATCAGCAGCGTGTTATTGATCAGTGTTGGCATGAATAGGTGTATGAATGTTTGTTGACATTTGGATGATGTCTGTAGAAGGCTGACATTATGATGATCCACAATAACACAATGACAAAGTCACTCTACTAATTTTAGAGAAAAGCTCATTGATTAGGACATAGTAATGTTGATCTCCACATTTAAAACCTGAACACATCTGATTGGATTATAAGTTATTTTATCTTTATCATTTATTCTTTTTTTTAAACATTTTGTTTATTACAAGTCTTATTTATACATGCATGTACAGATACATGACAACAAAAAATGAGTGTGTTATAATTAAAAAATGAATCACAAAGAACAACTTCTCAGATGTAAAACAATCTTTTGTACATACATAAACCTAAGAGCACGTTTGAATTAAAAGTATTTTGTTGTCTTCACAAAGGTTCAAATGAACTGTACTTAACTGTACTGTATCATTCCTCCTCTTCGTCAACAAATACATTCATACACTTCACAAAAAGAGAAAACAAACTAAAGGTGTTTTCCTTTTTGTAAGTGTCACTCTTTCAAAAGGAAAAGTTATGATCATTTGCCTAACCCAAAAACATTGCGATTGATCTTTAAGGGTAAAGGAGTTGGGGTCTTTGGGTAAATCCCTAAGAAAACAAAAACGGGGTCCACTGGAATATCTTTTGAGATAATATTTTCTAAAGCTTTTTAACCTCTTCCAACTATATCTTACTGCAATGTCAAAAACAATGGGATTGTATCCCCTTCACCTCAGTGCATAAATCTGGAAAAATAACTGCAGGAATATATGTTTACATAAACATCTTTTATTCTTTATTCAGATTGAATGGCTGCAGTTTGTCAGAGATCAGCTGTGATTATCTGGGCTCAGCTCTGAAGTCCAACCCCTCCCATCTGAGAGAGCTGGACCTGAGTGAAAACAAGCTGCAGGATTCAGGAGTGAAGCTGCTGTGTGGTTTTCTGGAGAGTCCACACTGTAGACTGGAGACTCTGAGGTCAGACACCATTTTTTATGTGTTTGCTGAGATAAATATGATGTGAAAGTTGTGCTGAAAGTAAAATGCAGACAAAAGGATGATATTATGTAATTATAAGTATATCTTGTTCTTCTGTGGTTAAGACTGTGGCCGAGTCATGTTGAGCTACATATTTAAAACATTAAGGAGTAACTTTTCAACCTGGACCTTATTTTCCCATGTTTTTGTGTCAAAGTGAATAATTGGAACAACAAGTTTTAAACCTGTAATGAGGAAACATTGTCTTCTAAACTTAAGTAATTTATCCTTTATTCAGATTGAGTCGCTGCGTTATGTCAGAGATCAGCTGTGATTATCTGGCCTCAGCTCTGAAGTCCAACCCGTCCCATCTGAGAGATCTGCAACTGAGTGACAACGAGGTGCAGGATTCAGGAGTGAAGCTGCTGTGTGGTTTTCTGGAGAGTCCACACTGTAGACTGGAGACTCTGAGGTCAGTTCACTGACCATATATCAGTCCCTCCAGGATTTCATGGGCTTTTTGGGGGGGTTGGTCCAGTCTAAAATGACTCTTTTCAGGCGTATCAGGGAGCAAGTGAACAGTTTGTCCTTAAAGTTGATGTGTTAGAAGCAGGAAAAATGGACATTGTGGGGATTTGAGTAACTTTGCCAAGAGCCACATTGTGATGGCTAGATGACTGGGTCAGAGCATCTCCAAACCTGCAGCTCTTGTGAGGTGTTCCGGGTCTGCAGAGGTCAGTACCTATCAAGAGTGGTCCAAGGGAGGAACAGAACCGGAGACAGGGTCATGGCTCATTGATGCACGTGGGGACTGAAGGCTGGCCCTTGTGGTCCGATCCAACAGATGAGCTACTGGAGCTCAAACTGCTGAAACAGTTAATGCTGGTTCTGATAGAAAGGGGTCAGAACACACAGTACAGAGCAGTCTGTTGGTATGGGGCTGCAGAACATTATGAGCACCAGGGTGCCCAGGTGGTAAAAGGACTGTACTTGATATAGCACCTTTCTAGTCTTCCAACCACTCAAAGCGCAGATTCGCCCTTTCACACACATTCACGGACACTAACTCAGTCATTCACATTCACCCACCGATGCCATCAGGAGCATTTGGGGTTCAGTATCTTGCTCAAGGGTACTTTGACATGTGTTGAGAATAGCCGGGGGATCGAACCAACAACCTCCCGATTAGTGGACAACTCACCCTGCCTCTGAGCCACAGCCCCCTGCGTTCATAATGTTATGGCTGATCAGTGTATATGTCTGGTATATTTTTTAACTGTCTTTTTAACATAGATTAGCCTAGCACATACCATATCTCAGTACAGGAAAGGAGGAAGTTGACCGAGGTCCTGACCGAGCAGAGTACAGAGCAAAAAAGGCAGGACTCAAGTACTTCTTTGCTTTCCATTCATTTAATGTAATTTCTTTATTCAGATCGAAATGCTGCAGTCTATCAGAGATCAGTTGTGATTATCTGGTCTCAGCTCTGAAGTCCAACCCTTCACATCTGAGAGAGCTGCAGCTGAGTGGAAACAAGAAGCTGCAGGATTCAGGAGTGAAGCTGCTGTGTGGTTTTCTGGAGAGTCCACACTGTAGACTGGAGACTCTGAGGTCAGACACCATTTTTTCCTTCTGTGCTGAGATTAATATGATGTGAAAGTTGTGCTGACAGTAAAGTGCAGACATAAGGCTGATATTATACTGATCCACACTGAGTATCTTAATGCTAAAGTCTGTTTTCTTCTTCAGTGGTTTAGTCCATTGACAGTGGCAGAGCAATGTTGAGCACCACATTTAAAACCTGAATATAACAAGAAGAATCTACACTGGATAATTCACTCTGAACCTTTAAACTCTTTATTTTCATCTAATTCTTATTCAGATTGAGTCGCTGCAGTTTGTCAGAGATCAGCTGTGATTATCTGGTCTCAGCTCTGAAGTCCAACCCCTCCCATCTGAGAGAGCTTAATCTGACTGGAAATGAGCTGCAGGATTCAGGAGTGAAGCTGTTGTGTGATTTACTAGAGAGTCCGCACTGTAGACTGGAGAATCTGAGGTCAGTAGGTTGCTGCTGGTTTCAGCAGGATTGCATGTGCCACTTCACTGACTGACAACAGATGGAGGGAGTCTCTGTAAACACTGATTTATGACTTCTGTTGTCTTTCTCCTTGTCTTATCAGCTGGAAGTGGTGATCTCTGTCTCTGTCTGTCATGAGGAAGGAGGTTGTGTTGGAGGATCCGCTGTGTCCTGATGATCCAGAGAGGTTGAAGCAGCAGCATCAGCTCTGACTGGGCCATGTTACTGGGAGGTAGAGTGGAGAGGAGAGCTTCATCCAGCAGTGACTGACAGAGGAATCACAACCAGTGGAGATGACTCTCAGTGCTGCAGTCTGAACTGCTCTGAGATCAGCTCCACTGTCAGACACAATGTCAAGTCCACCATCATCCCTGTGTGTTCCTCTGGATGTGACAGAGTATCATCAGTGTATCTGGACTGCTCTGCTGCTGCTCTGTCCTTCTACACAGTCTCTGCAGACACACTGAGACTCCTCCACTCCTTCTGCTCTACACTCATCTGTCATTCAAATTTTCACACATAAAGCATGCACTGATCAACCATCTAGCCCCACTGTTAGGAACTGTAGAAGAAACGTTTTTTGCACAGTGGGTTCATGGGACATGGGCTGTTTCATCCAATCTTCATCAATTTTGGTAGACCCTGAACAAGACTTGTGTCTGTGTTTATCTCTGTATTTCTGCACCTCCACGCTGTTAAATGATGAACTTAATTTTCTCATTGTACTGTATCTTTTTGTATGTATGTTTCTTATTTCATATCAATTTATCATTAGAATCTAACAGATTGTATTATTTTCTTAAAATAGTCATTTGTGTATGGTACCTGACAAATAAATAAAATAATTCAATTCAATTCAGTTTTATTTGTATAGCGCCAAATCATAACAAAAGCCATCTCAGGACACTTTTCAAATAGAGCAGGTCTGGACTCTACTCCTATAAGAGACCCAACAGTTCCCACCATGAGCAAGACCTTGGCGACGGTAGCACGGAAACTTAAGTAAGACCAAGGAGACATCACCAGGATCCATGAGAACCTGCAAGACTAGAATGCACAAGACTCCGGGGAAGAAGTGAAGTTAGTAAAATGCATTAATGGGACATGAATGAGTGCAGAAAGAGACTCAGAATCAGAATCAGATTTATTGCCAGGTAGGTTTTTACACATACAAGAAATTGTAAATCACACAAAAATATGCAGTCTGCCCTTAATTATTTACCACTTAATTATTTAACTTAATAATTTGATTAAAGCTGCAAGTATTGTTAAATGACCTTTTCTGTTTTTAAAGATTGTCAGGTATATATTTTTCATAAAATCAGAAACTAATTGCTGTGTAATGATAATACATAGTGTCTAGTGTCTAATGGTTCCGGTGCTGAGCTCAAAGGTTGATCACCTTAACCCACCGTCCACTGTCACACAGAAAGCTCCCCATCCAGTGGAACATGAAGGAGCGGATGTTCAACTGTGTTTGTGTCATAGTTTGTAAAAGAAAATGTTTTAGAAATTTTTTTTCCCTACATGATTTAAAGTAAATGGAGAGTGGAGGAGCTGCATTGACACGATCCAGGTTCAGGGAGGGAACCTCAAAGTGAAAGTGTTCAGTTGGTTCAGATTTCATTTAGAGTCGACAGAGCCAGAGGAGGAGAACTGAAGGCTGAGGCAGGGTGAGTGTTCACACAACATTATTATTATTTTACTGCCAAAGTCTCTGAGTCAGTTTTCTCCCGGTAGACTTAAGCAGAAAGAAATGTTAGAATGAACGAAATAGTTTGACAAAAAGTCAAATTGAGATTGCTTGATCAGATTGGCTGAGTAATGCACATTAACATGAGAAAACAAACACAGATTGAAAGAAGACTAACCAGGTGGAGTTCTGACTGCGTTTATGACTGCTGTATATTGTGTGTGTGTGTGTGTGTGTGTGTGTATGTGTGTGTGTGAGAGAGAGAGAGAGAGAGAGAGAGAGAGAGAAGGAGAGAGAGAGAGAGAGAGAGAGAGAGAGAGAGAGAGAGAGAGAGAGAGAGAGAGAGAGAGAGAGAGAGAGAGAGAGACTGTGAAACCTGAACAAACTAGTTTTTCCTGATTCTGAGCTCACAGTCAGTGTTACTGTTTTATCTCTCAGACTGACTTCAGATCAGAAGACAAGTGATCGTGTTGAGGAAGAGGACAGAGCAGAGTCTGCAGTGTCCAGCTGTCTGTCTATGAAGAGTGAGTCCAAAGAGCATCCTCCAGAGAGGGGAGGGAGTAAGATACCTGAGAGTGGAAGTATTTTGTGCTGTCAGTTCAGACTCTTTATAACAACAGAGCAGAGCAGGAGGGTGGAAAGAGGGTGAGTGTTCCTACAACATTATTCTTGTTTCAGTTCAGTTAATTTTAATTTGTATGGCACCAATTCATAACAAAAGTTATTTTGGGAGAAGTACAGAGACAAAGATGCACCCATGTTGTATGTTGTATTTTAAACAATCAGCTCTCAGGAGAGGTCATGGTAATGACTCTTGGCTGCCCTCCATTGGCCAAGATCAGTAACTACAATAAACCTTTTATTTCCGTTACGTGGAACAGTAAAATCCTCCAAATCAGTTCCATGAGGCCATCTAGTGGATGACACATTTGGGACAAATATTGTTTAGCGCTTTATATTGGGCTTTAGAGACACATACATATGTAATGTGTGTAAAGATATACATGTTACATATTTTGGCTAACAATATTACAATAATAATGATAATCACTACAGAGCTGACTCGTTGCTTACTTTTTGTCCTCTGTAGAACATTGACAGCTATTGTTTTATTCACACGTGTTCACCTTAAAGTTGTGGTTTCATGATGATTTTATCTTTGTGGTGTGTGGCTAAAGACAACAACAAGAATATTCAAGAACTAAAAGTTGGTGGAACAAAAGCAAACTGAAAATGGGTCAGTTCCCATGTGGTGATGCTTTTTCTCCTGTTGTTGCTCTGATACATTTCTGTAACTGTTTTCCTTCAGGTTGACAACACTGCCTGACTTTAACAGAGAGGCACAATGACAGCAGAGAACCTTTTGAACACTCTAGAGGATTTAATAGATGAGGAACTTGAGAAGTTCAAATGGTATCTGAAGCAGCCCGACATCCGCGAAGGCTACAAAACCATCAAAGTATCTGAGCTGGAGAAGGCAGAAAGGTGGAAAACAGTTGACTTGATGGTGAACACATTTAACCTTGATGGAGCTCTAAAGGTGACCAAGAAGGTTTTAGAGAAGATATACAGAAATGATCTGGTGCAGAGTCTGCCAGACACCAGCTCAGGACCAGACGGTCAGTCACACTTAATTTATTTTTATTTTCAGGTAAAAAGAGTGGGCTGACTTCTTGTAAACGAACAGGGTCTCCAAGTACAGATTGTATTTACCAAAATAACCTGGACGGTTTAATGCTCTGCGTTGTTTGTCCGTCAGGAGTTCTGCCAAATATTTACATGTTTATCCCGCTTTAAGCATAATTTCTATGCTGCACTTTTAGTTGTGGCAGTCTTTTGCTGAAGGACCTGTTTCGGGCCCCACAATCTTATGCAGGGGTGAAAGGTGTTGTTCATGATCCTTGGTCCCCTCACTCCCAACATAAAGTCAGCTACAAAAACTCTGGCTGTTATCCTGGATACTACCTTAAGCCAGGAGCAACGTGTAAAGAAAGCAGTGGAGTTTTTATAAACTGAGGACTATCTCCAAGATTAGATCAGTTCTGTCCTTCAGTAACTGTGGGCTCAGACTACAGGAGCAGATTTAACTCAGATTCACTCTTCCTGACAATCGAATGAGGAATCTGGTCCTGGACCTTGGTCAGTGCCGATGTTCGGGTCAGAGAAATTGTTTTTGAGATTTATCGGGCCGCCGCGTTAATTTTCAAACATGTTTGATATATAGGAGTTAAAATCTGGATTCTGGATTTCTGATGACTGTGGGCTGTGGAGTCAATCTCTACCATCTAACCTCACACAACTAACTAATCTGTTTGTAATGGCACTATTCAGTGGAAAGACGATGGTGGAGCTAGACTAGAAGCAAATACCCAGAGTATGTTGTAGTTAGAATGAGAGGTCAGTCTGTGGCTCTTTGGTCGGTGTCTCCTTACCTTCCAAATCACACAGCACATCACCAAGAGACCACGCCTCCTACAGTGGTTGTCCTATGCTGCCATCTGCCACATTTTTTAAATATGCTGTGAGGGAGGAAGCAGTGAGAATTTGGGTGTGCAGTTACACCTACACACTAAGATGTACTTTGTGATGAATAGTACAGAAACCCTGACCATGTATAGGATCAGAGGAAGCACTCCTCTCTATTAACAAAACTGTGTTCAGGCCAAATGGAAGGCAACTTTCTGAGATTCCTGATGATCTTTCTTTGTGTTCATTCAGGAAGTAATTCAGGGGTTTGTCGGCAAAAACTTAAATCAAACCTGAAGAAGAAGTTCCAGTGTGTGTTTGAGGGGATTGTTAAAGCAGGAAACCGAACCTTTTTGAACCAGATCTACACAGAACTCTATATCACAGAGGGAGGGACTGCAGAGGTCAATAATGAACATGAGGTCAGACAGATTGAAACAGCATCCAGGAAACCAGACAGACCAGAATCAACAATCAGACAAGAAGACCTCTTTAAACCCTCACCTGGAAGAGATGAACCAATCAGAACAGTGATGACAAAAGGAGTGGCTGGCATTGGAAAAACAGTCTTAACACAGAAGTTCACTCTGGACTGGGCTGAAGACAAAGCCAACCAGGACATAGAGTTCACATTTCCATTCACTTTCAGAGAGCTGAATTTGTTGAAAAGGAAAAAGTTCAGCTTGGTGGAACTTGTTCATCACTTCTTTACTGCAACCAAAGAAGCAGGAATCTGCATGTTTGAAGAGTTCCAGGTTGTGTTCATCTTTGATGGTCTGGATGAGTATCGACTTCCTCTGGACTTCAACAACACTGAGATTCTGACTGATGTTACAGAGTCCACCTCAGTGGATGTTCTGCTGACAAACCTCATCAGGGGGAAACTGCTTCCCTCTGCTCGCCTCTGGATAACCACACGACCTGCAGCAGCCAATCAGATCCCTCCTGAGTGTGTTGACATGGTGACAGAGGTCAGAGGGTTCACTGACCCACAGAAGGAGGAGTACTTCAGGAAGAGGTTCACAGATCAGGAGCAGGCCAGCAGAATCATCTCCCACATGAAGACATCACGAAGCCTCCACATCATGTGCCACATCCCAGTCTTCTGCTGGATCACTGCTACAGTTCTGGAGAAAGTGTTAAAGAACAGACAGAGAGGAGAGCTGCCCAAGACCCTGACTGAGATGTTCATCCACTTCCTGGTGGTTCAGTCCAAACAAAAGAAAGTCAAGTATGATGGAGGAGCTGAGACAGATCCACACTGGAGTCCAGAGAGCAGGAAGATGATTGAGTCTCTGGGGAAACTGGCTTTTAAGGAGCTGCAGAAAGGCAACCTGATCTTCTATGAATCAGACCTGACAGAGTGTGGCATCGATGTCAGAGCAGCCTCAGTGTACTCAGGAGTGTTCACACAGATCTTTAAAGAGGAGAGTGGACTGTACCAGGACAAGGTCTTCTGCTTCGTCCATCTGAGTGTTCAGGAGTTTCTGGCTGCTCTTCATGTCCATCTGACATTCATCAGCTCTGGAGTCAATCTGCTGGAAGAAGAACAAACATTCTTCTTTTCTTTATTATTTAAAGACAAGCATAATCTGAAACATTTCCATCAGAGTGCTGTGGACAAGGCCTTACAGAGTCCAAATGGACACCTGGACTTGTTCCTCCGCTTCCTCCTAGGTCTTTCACTGGAGAACAATCAGAATCTCCTGCGAGGCCTGCTGACACAGACACAAAGTAGCTCACAGACCATTTGGGAAACAGTCCAGTACATCAAGAAGAAGATCAATAGGAATCTCTCTGCAGAGAGAAGCATCAATCTGTTCCACTGTCTAAATGAACTAAATGATCATTCTCTAGTGGAGGAGATCCAACAGTACTTGAGTTCAGGACGTCTCTTCACAGATAAACTGTCTCCTGCTCAGTGGTCAGCTCTGGTCTTCATCTTACTGTCATCAGAAGAAGATCTGGATGTGTTTGACCTGAAGAAATACTCTGCTTCAGAGGAGGCTCTTCTGAGGCTGCTGCCAGTGGTCAAAGCCTCCAACAAAGCTCTGTAAGTACAGAGAGTTGGATTTTTGTATCATAACTTAAATACCTTGCTATCTTTTCAACTTACATTTAGTTTTTTCTTGTGTATTGTATTAATATATATATAAAATTGTATTGTTTATTATTGTCTCTTCAGACTGAGGGGCTGTAACCTCTTAAAGAGAAGTTGTGAAGCTTTGTCTTCAGTTCTCAGCTCCCAGTCCTCTAGTCTGAGAGAGCTGGACCTGAGTAACAACAACCTGCAGGACTCTGGACTAAAGCTGCTGTTTGTTGGACTGGAGAGTCCACACTGTAAACTGGAAACTCTCAGGTCAGATCAAGTTAGTTTGTCTTAAATCATTTTAAATATTTCTCTAAACTATAACCTACTTGCAGTGTAAACAGTCTCTCTCATGTTAAAATTTCTTATATCATTGAATCTGGTCATCTGGATGTCAGGTTTCATAAGTCGTTTTTTAACCATTAAGTACCAGATTGAACCGGAGTAACTAATCTCAGGAACTAAACTAGTTATCAGTTAACATATGTTCATTCAAAAATGTCAGGTGGTACAAACAAATTTTTGTAAAAATATATATTTTCCTACAATTGATTTTAAGTCTTTTAGCAAGATATGCTTCTCTTGCAGCTGAATCATAATTAATTCGCTTTTTTTTTCTTTAATTGATAGTGGCACATTAAATGAAACAAAGATTTTAAAGTATATATATATATATATATATATATATATATATATAGAAAGAGAGAGAGAACACATCTTTAACTTGAAATTAATAAACATTTAAAAAATGTATTAGATAGTCTCAGAGTTTTTAAATATTTAATCCATGTATTGTCATTTCCTGCAGTTGCACTAGCTGACTTATTGACTTATAACCTAACTTTTGCAACTAATTTCAAATTAAACAAATTAGACTTCTTCTTGGCACATGTGTTTGCTTTTGGCTTTTCTAGCAAGATCATACACATTTTAAATTAAATAACTTTATGATGAAATAACATTCTCCTAGTTTTACATTGGTTGTACCACCTGACATGGATAGTGTACTGGCCAACCTATGAGTTGAAAGAAGCTATTTTGTCCATATATAACGGAGATTTATAAACTTTTTCACTCAGCCATAAAGGTTACATGGGATCCTCTGGCTGATGCAATATCCTGTTAACAGTGATAACCTCTTTATTTCAAAATAAAGGTCCTATGGTATGGGTTATTTGTTTATTTGAAAGATTTCAAACATAGAATAATGCCATGGTATTTTATGTTTTATTTATCACCATTAATATTAGATTTTTAATTATTTTCTTTGGGTGTTTTCTTGTATGGACCACGTAAATCAAACAATGAACAGTTTTAGTCCAACATGTCTTGATTTGACATGATGATCCTGTGATTACAGACCTGACTGAGATCAGCAGCATGTTACTGATCAGTGTTGACATGAATAGCTGTATGAATGTGCTGAAATGATGTTTATAGAAGGCTGACAATATGATGATCCACAATAACACAGTGATAGTCTCTCATTTTAGGGTTACAAGTCATAATGTCTATTGTATTAAAAATAATTGAGCTACACATTTAAAACCCAAATACATGTCATTGGATTATAAATGTCTTTATATTATATGTAATTTATTCTTTATTCAGATTAAGTTGGTGCAGTTTGTCAGAGATCTCCTGTGATTATCTGGTCTCAGCTCTGAAGTCCAACCCCTCCCATCTGAGAGAGCTGGAGCTGAGTGGAAATGACAAGCTGCAGGATTCAGGAGTGAAGCTGCTGTGTGGTTTTCTGGAGAGTCCACACTGTAGACTGGAGACTCTGAGGTCAGTTCACTGACTCTCTGTTACTGTTGTAGATCTGATATGTTTAATTAACAATTGAACCTAATTTATGTTCATACATAACTTACATCCATAAAGTTGTAAAGTTGCTTTTGTTCATATTTTAATGTTTGTTGAACTAAATTTAGTCTGCAGTCACAAAGACTTGTGTTTGTTAAAGAAACTGTAGAAAATGTCCACTGTTAGTTGTTAAAGTAAATGAATGTTTATAATTGTTGGTAAATGGTCACATCTGGATACAGAAGATCCTCTGAACTAATATTTGTTTGCATTAAATTCCCAACAGAAATGGTATTGCTTTTATTGCTTTATTTCAGATTGCAGATAATTCATTTGAATTCAGAAACTTTATTAGACCATTGATATACGTTTGTGCATCAGTGATTTTAATCTAAATTAGAGGTAAAACATTTTGGAGCTGTGAAACTGGAAGCCACACCCAGATTATTTTTTGCATTTTCTCTTGTGACGTTATCCACCGATAAACAATTAATTGTAGCTGCAAGCTAACACTAACTAGCTTCTCACAATGAAGCATTTATGTTGTGCTATTGTACGAAACAAGTTTGGTTTTACCACAGACACATGGTACAGAGGTTTCTTTCTGTTTCTCCTTCAAATTATCGTTGTTTTCTCTGGCCTGTCTCTCCTCTACGCACTCATTTTTTTCTCTCTCCACACTGCATTGTGTGACAGTAATAATCCATGCAAAAGTGCACTGTATGGGCTGTGTATAGTTATATGGATTAAACGAAGCCTCTATCCAAAGAACTCACATAGATGATTTTTAGTGATCGAATAACACAAGGAATCGTTTCAGCCCTACTCAAGACATAACGCTAGTCTCGATAAGCGTTGACCTTTGAAACCGGTCCTTGTAGAACCGGGTCTTGATCCCGATCCGTAATTCCAACACTGGGCCGTGCAGCTGGGCGTACATAGAGGTGAAAACCATAACAATTTATGCCCTATTCATTATATGTCCGCTTCTTCTCACTCTGCTTTGTCACCAAACCAGTTTGGCCTCTTGAATGTGAGATCTCTCTGTAATAAGTAAGTTATCAGTAATGATTTTATGTTTCGTTATTGTTTTTTTTGTATGATTACCAAGACATTATATTGCATTGGATTATCAACGTGTCTGATCTGATAATGATCCTGGGATTCCAGACCTGACTGAGATCAGCAGCATATTACTGACCAGTGTTGACATGAATAGGTGTATGAATGTTGTGCTGACATTTGGATGATGTCTGCAGAAGGCTGACATTATGATGATCCACAATAACACAATGACAAAGTCACTCTACTCATTTTAGAGAAAAGCTCATTGATTAGGACATAGTAATGTTGATCTCCACATTTAAAACCTGAACACATCTGATTGGATTATAAGTGATTTTATCTTCATCATATATTCTTTATTCAGATTGTGGCACTGCAGGTTGTCAGAGATCAGCTGTGATTATCTGGGCTCAGCTCTGAAGTCCAACCCCTCCCATCTGAGCGAGCTGAATTTGAGTCTGAACAACCTGAAGGATTCAGGAGTGAAGCTGCTGTGTGGTTTTCTGGAGAGTCCACAATGTAGACTAGAGACTCTGAGGTCAGACACCATTTTTTACTTCTGTGCTGAGATTAATATGATGTTAAGTTGTGCTGACAGTAAAGTGCAGACAGTGTTTTGATCACATCAGTACATTTTTGGAACCTTCAATCAGTTTCTGTGGGTTTTTCTTTGTGTTTGGCTGCACAACATGAGTTTGTATAGGTGGAGCCACTGGTGGAGCTGGCAGAGGTTAAGAGCTGAAGTCACTTCGTATTTTTTGAAGAAGCAGCACATTGTCATTCATATTAATGAGACCTCTCACTTCATCAAGTTATAAGTTACAAATTTGACTGCTTGCATTTAGTGTCCAATAAACATCCACACAAATGTGGATTTGGACCTAGATGAGTCACAGGCAAAAGCCCAGAGGCTCCAGTGAATAGCAGCAACAAAATGCTCTTGAATGGACAAGAACATAGTATGAAAAGTATGAACTAAACAGTTAACTTCCATATGTGGGATCTTCCTTGTGAGCCTAAATAAGCCCAGATGGAAGTAGTTGATGAGAAACGGCCTTGATTTGCTAACCAGCCTCTTTCCATGCTAGTGTCCTTTTGGTTATGTTTTTTTTAAAAACATGCAGTACTCTATCATCCCATTACTGAGGACTGTGTACGCTGTTCTTTTTTATTACTATTATTATTAGTAGTAGTAGTAGGGACTCACCCTTTTCATCAGTGTTGAATAGGTGTATGAATGTTGTGCTGACATTTGGGTGATATCTGTAGAAGGCTGAACACATCTGATTGGATTATAAATTATTTTTATCTTCATTATTTATTATTTATTCTTTATTCAGATTGATTAACTGCAGTTTGTCAGACATCAGCTGTGATTATCTGGTCTCAGCTCTGAAGTCCAACCCCTCCCATCTGAGAGAGCTGAACCTGAGTCTCAACAACAATCTGCAGGATTCAGGAGTGAAGCTGCTGTGTGGTTTTCTGGAGAGTCCACACTGTAGACTGGAGACTCTGAGGTCAGACACCATTTTTTCCTTCTGTGCTGAGATTAATATGATGTGAAAGTTGTGCTGACAGTAAAGTGCAGACATAAGGCTGATATTATACTGATCCACACTGAGTATCTTAATGCTAAAGTCTGTTTTCTTCTTCAGTGGTTTAGTCCATTGACTGTGGCAGAGGAATGTTGAGCTTAGATGTCTTTTGTTCACATTTCCCCCAAATCCATAATAATTTGTGTCTTTGTAAATGTTGGGATCTTCAGTGGAATCCTAAAAGAGTTTCTGTGGGTTTTTATTTGTGTTTTGCTGCACAACATCAGATGGAGCCACTGGTGGAGCTGGCAAAGATTAAGAGCTGAAGTCACTACATCTTCAGTCTTCTAAAGTAAAATCATTTATTTTTTATTCAGATTGAGGAGCTGCAGTTATTCAGAGATCAGCTGTGATTATCTGGTCTCAGCTCTGAAGTCCAACCCCTCCCATCTGAGAGAGCTGGACCTGAGTAACAACAATCTGCAGGATTCAGGAGTGAAGCTGCTGTGTGGTTTTCTGGAGAGTCCACACTGTAGACTGGAGACTCTGAGGTCAGTTCACTGACTCTCTGTTACTGTTGTAGATCTGATATGTTTAATTAACAATTGAACCTAATTTATGTTCATACATAACTTATATCCATAAAGTTGTAAATTTGCTTTTGTTCATATTTTCATGTTTTTTTAACTAAATTTAGTCTGCAGTCACAAAGACTTCTGTTTGTTAAAGAAACTGTAGAAAATGTCCACTGTTAGTTGTTAAAGTAAATGAATGCTGCTGGTCTTTATACTGGATGTGCTGATGGAGGGAGTCTCTGTAAACACTGATTTATGACTCTGTTGTCTGTCTTCTTCTCTCATCAGATGGAAGTGATCTCAGTCAGAGTGTGAGTGGTGAGGAAGGAGGTTGTGTTGGAGAGAGGTTGAAGCAGCAGTATCAGCTGTGGAGAGGAGAGCTTCATCCAGCAGTGACTGACAGAGGAATCACAACCAGTGGAGATGACTCTCAGTGCTGCAGTCTGAACTGCTCTGAGATCAGCTCCACTGTCAGACACAATGTCAAGTCCACCATCATCCCTGTGTGTTCCTCTGGATGTGACAGAGTATCATCAGTGTATCTGGACTGCTCTGCTGCTGCTCTGTCCTTCTACACAGTCTCTGCAGACACACTGAGACTCCTCCACTCCTTCTGCTCCACACTCAACCACCTCCTCCACCTGGAACCTCCACCTGGATTTTATTCTTTCATTCATTCACATATTCTGAACCCAAACTGCCTCTACACATTCATTCTGTTTATGACAACAGAACTGTAGATGAACACATTGAATTGGATATTTCAGTGTTGCTTTCTGTTGCAGCTCCACCCTGTGGAACGATGGAGTAGTGCAGTTAATTTCCACATATTTCTGAACAACAGTGGAAGTTGATATTGCATGTGTGAAGTTCTGGTTATTCCCACCAATACCAGCCGTTTCTCATATTATAATCAATGAAGTAGATAAAACCTGAACAAAGTCTGGATTCAATCAAGGCTTTACTGAAGTTTCTCAACTGACTACAAACAGATTCTGTCTGGATTTTGGTGGAAAGTCAGTGCTTTAATATTTCATTTTGTATATAATGTTTGATGGAAAAGAAAATCAGAAGTGTTTAATGTGCAGATTGTAGACTTTATATTCATTAATCATGTCTATAAAACAAATAATGCTATCTTGATTTTTAATAAATCATGTTTTTTTAGTCCAAATGAAGTTCAGTTTCTTACAGCTTTATGTGTGACTCTGCTAGTTTTCACATTACAGACACATAAAGTCAAGCTGTGGAGCTTTTTCCCACAGAAATCAATGTTGAAGCAGTTGTTATCACCAGTGTTCATGTTCTGTTGCTCCTGCTGGAGCTGCTTTCTGCCAGCAGATGTCACCATTTCCACTGTTTTCCTCAGACTGGTTTATCTGAATGGATGCAATATCTGTGTGCAGTGAAAACTGAACTGGTGATGTGAATACTTTCTTTCTGACTGACTTCATTTAGTTCAACTTTATTTAAACTGATTAAACTAGATTTGACGTGTTGAGCAACAGCTGACACTAAAGATTTAGAAAAGAAATGTATCTCCTGTTTGTAAAATATGTTTAATGTTTTCTCTGGTTCTCCAGTCTTTTCATTTATTCAATGACATTTTAAGAAAAATAAAGTTATTTTTAAAATAGAAATAAAAAAATTGTGAAATTTCCTGTTCCTCTTCCCCACTGCCGTTGTTGAGAAGGATCAGCTGAAAACAAGGAAGCAAAAACGACGCTACACTTCACATTTTCAACCTTTTCAATAAGCGAAAGAAAGGAGACTGATGTGAGTAAGTTGTTTTTAATTAAATTAAAGTTTGACTGGAAGCAAAACTAATTAAGGATTGTTTTTATGACAAGCTATGGTGACAAGCTGGAGGAACAGAGTGTTTTTCAGTTTTGTAGTGCTCATTGTTTTTTATTAAAACAATATGCTCCAAATGGCGACAAATATAAAACTAAATGATACATTTATTAACAATCAAAAGCTGCAGATTCCATGAGGCTTATGGGATATGTTGTTAATGCTAACAAAATCATTGTTGTGAGTGAAAATATTGCTGTTATGTCAGCTGTGCACCCGAGAGCACAAAGAGGTAATGTCAGTCACATAAGTCACTGATGGACAGCAGAAGGGAATAGTGGGTGGGTCTTCTACTGTTTGTTTGTTTTGTTCATCAATCACTTCCGGTCTAAACGGCCATTTTATTTTTTGAAATTGTCAAAAATGCATTCAGCATCCTCTGTAACCCAAATTGGCAAACAGACTATAATGTATCAACATTTTCTCCATAGCCTTTTTTAAAAATTCAACTTGTTCAAGCCAAGAGATATGCTCATAAAACACACACACACACACACACACACACACACACACACACACACACACACACACACACACACACACACACACAAACTCACCTTATGTCCTGTAAATGGAAAGGGGTGGAGCTACACTGACTATATGATCCAAGTCCATGAGTACTGGGAGTGAACCCTGCTGCTGTGTCTTCACTCAGTTTAGACTCCATTAGTCGACAGAGCAGGAGGCGGAAACTGAAGGCTGAGGCAGGGTGAGTGTTAATACAACATTTTTATAATTTTTACTGTGGACTGTAGAGGAAATAAATGTTAGGATGAACTGAAAGAATGTTTGATTCATCTGTGAACACAAAGTCTCGATTAGCTGAGTAACACACATAAAATGCAGATTGAAATAAAACTGACCAGGTGCAGTTTTGCTTTTATTATACTGTAGTGTGTGTGTGTGTGTGTGTGTGTGTGTGTGTGTGTGTGTGTGAGAGAGAGAGAGAGAGAGAGAGAGAGGGAGAGGGAGAGAGAGATTGTCGGTTACTTATGTTATCTCGTTCTTTTGTGTGGAACTTGAACAACAAACTAGTTCTTCCTGATTCTTGTGCTCCGACAAAAACCTTCTCAGTGCAGAGTTAATGTTTGACCTCTCAGACTGACTACAGACCTGAAGATGAGTGATCGTGAGGAGGAAGAGGAGGACCGAGCAGAGTCTCCAGTGTCCAGCTATCTGTCTATGAAGAGTGACCGGTCCAAAGGCGAACCCGAACCCTCAGACACACAGTAAGAAACTTACTTTATTAAGTTTAATTTAATAAAGACTTCATTTGTTAGTTGACAGTAAAGAGTGACAGAAAATGATTAACTTGATACTGTGACATCACTGTTACATGCAATGTGTCCTAGACTGCTGGTCTACCACAATTTATATTTTATGTATTTAGACCACTTCTAACCTCAGTTCAAACCTGATTAACTCAAGCTAAGCTGTCCAAAGTGACTGTAAAACAGACAGAATCAGCTCTCTTTAATGCAGGACTTTTGCTGTGAAGTAGCTGCAGGAAATGTTGAGTTTAGATCAGTAACAACAGACAGATCACTAAATGTTTAAAAAGACAGAGAAACAGTTAAGTATTTTTTTTTATAAAAGTGCACTATTACTCTCTGTAAATCTGTCTGTAAAGTTTGCCTGAATTTTCTCAGTCACAATTGCCTCTTCTAAGTCTTTTTCTGCATGACAGCAAATATAATCTAAATCCTTTATTGGCTAGCATTAAATAAACGCTGTTATAATGCATAGAACAATGTAGTTGAGATAGGTCAATTCTGTCCCGCTCTCCCTTAAAGGAGACATATTATGCCTTTTTTCAGGTTCACAATTTTACTTAGTATAACGTAAACAAGAACTTACTAGAAAGGTTTATGTGTTTTAATGTTCAAAAAACACATTATTTCTCTCATACTGCCTAAAGCTGAAGCACCTCTTTTCCCCCTCTGTGTGAAACGCTCTGTTTGAGCTCCCGTCTCTGTAAGGCCCTCCTTCTGAAAAGCCCAGTCTGCTCTGATTGGTCAGCTCCTACGAACTGCTGCAGCTTTCACCTTCCGTCTTCCGTCTTGCGCCGCAGGCAGCCCCTCACTGTTGATGAGTTTAGTTGCATTTCTAATTCAGTAACTGCTTCTAAACCAAAAACTTCACTACCAGACCTGAAATCTTGGAGAAATTAACAATCAGGATTACAGCTTTCCACGACGTTTTCTCCAGGTAAATACTGCTGACGTTATTTATATCTCTGTATGACATAATGTTAGTTTAGTGTTTATACCTTAACTATCAAAACCAACACTCTGTTTTATGCTTGTCTTTGCAGGTACAGTGACATAAAGTCTACACAGCCCAGTGAAGTAAAAGCACTTGTTGTGAAGAGCTAAAGAGGTAACATGTTAGCATGTGCATATAGCATAGTACCAAATGTAAATACTTACAGTAATTACCAGGATGTAGGGATGGAAACAGTGATAGTATAATGATTACTGTAGCCACCCATCTGTTATACTCTTTATACACATTAGTGAGACTGAGCTAGGTTAGTGGATACTTTATCCTGTATAACATGTCAACATAACTTAATGTCTAATAAAGTAATGTGCTTATGTAGTTGAAAAACTGCTCAGTAACCAACTGTGGACGGTACTGTATCCATATCTCATAGTAAGTCTGATATTTTAACTTGAAACACATGTGTTATTGTCACACAAATGTTGCCAAATGTATGCTCATGCATAATGCAGATGATGCGTTTTAACCCCAATATTGTATCACTTACATTGTCTGTCAACATCATAATAAAGTTTCACTGTGAACCAGAAATGTGTTGTGTTGCTTACAGTCAGTACTTAATACAGGATTACTAGCAAAACTCTTTCACATTTTCATAGGTATTACATGGAGCAGGTTTTCAACCCTTCTGCATGCAGGAAATTAAAATAAGTTTTTCATAAAACCCCTGTGAAAGAACATATTATTATCTTAAACCACGCTTATTACTAAATTTAGTGTTTAGAGTGAGTTTAATTGAAATTCCGGTTACACAGAAATATAAGTTGTGTGTATGGTGCAAGTAGCTATAACCTTTTTGTAAACTGTGCAGATCATGTCCTCCATCAAGATCTATGGTTTCTTGTACACTGAAGTGTCCGCTGGTAATGGTTGTATCGGTCAATTCAATTCAATTCAATTCAATTCAATTCAATTTTATTTGTATAGCACCAATTCATAACAGAAGTTATCTCAGGACACTTTTCAAATAGAGCAGGTCTAGACCGAACTCTTTAAAACATTATTTACAGAGACCCAACAGTACCACCATGAGCAAGACCTTGGAGACAAGGGCAAGGAAAAACTGCCTGTTAAAAGGCAGAAACCTAGGACAGACCCTTCGGCTCTAGGTGGGTGGTCGTCTGACTCAACCAGTTGGGCTGAAAGAGAGAGAGAGAGAGACAGACAGACAGACAGACAGACAGAGGTGCACAGCAGCAACAGTAGCAACAACTTCACTAATAGTAGTGACTGATGATGATGAACATGAAGAAGATAATGGCAATGACAACAACGATGGGGGACAATGAGCAGTGACGATAGTAATAATAGTAACTGTATTGATAATAATAATAACAATAATATCAGTAATATTAACAATGGCAGTCAAGCAGGACCATGGCAGGAGGCTCCACCAGGATCCATGAGAACCTGCGAGACGAGAAAGCACAACAACTCCGGGGAAGAAGTGAAGTTAGTAACATGCATTAATGGGACATGAATGAGTGCAGAAAGAAAGAGAGAGGAAGAGAGGAGCTCAGTGCACCATGGGAAATCCCCCGATAGTCTAGGCCTATAGCAGCATAACTAAGGGATGGTTCAGGACTCACCTGATCCAGCCCTAACTATAAGCTTTATCAAAAAGGAATGTCTTAAGCCTACTCTTGAATGTGGTGAGGGTGTCTGCCTACCAAACCACAACTGGAAGCTGGTTCCACAGGAGAGGAGCTTGGTAACTGAAGGCTCTGGCTCCTGTTCTACTTTTAGAGACTATAGGAACCACAAGTAGCCCAGCATTCAGAGAATGTAGTGTTCTAGAGGGGTAATAGGGTACTATGAGCTCTTTCAGATATGAAGGGGCCTGACCATGAAGAGCTTTATAGGTGAGGAGGAGGATTTTAAATTCTATTCTACATTTTACAGGGAGCCAATGCAGAGAAGCTAGTACAGGAGAGACGTGATCTCTTTTTCTAGTTCCTGTCAGTACTCGTGCTGCAGCATTCTGAATTAATTGGAGCATTTTAATGGACTTATTGGGGCAACCTGATAATAAAGAGTTGCAGTAATCCAGCCTAGAAGTTTGTAATATTACGTAAATTTGTAATATTACGTAAATGAAAGAAGGCCGTCCTGGAGGTTTCCTTCATGTGGGAATTAAATGACATGTCCTGATCAAAGATAACTCCAAGATTCCTGACAGTGGTGCTAGAGGCCAAGGTAATGCCATCTAGAGTAACTATATCTTTAGACAGTGAGTCTCTGAGGTTTTTGGGGCCAAGTACAAGAGTTTAGCATCAGAAAATTGCAGCTCATCCAAGATTTTGTTTGTAATTTAGATAAATTGCTTGATCGATAGATATAACTATGCATCATCTACATAGCAATGAAACTTAATGGAGTGATTCCTAATAATGTTGCCTAAGGGAGCATATATAAAGTAAATAGTATTGGTCCAAGTACAGAACCTTGTGGAACTGCATGACTAACTGTAGTATTTATGGAAGATTCATCGTTAAATTGTACAAACTGAGAACGATCTGATAAGTATGACCTAAACCAGCTTAGTGCGGTTCCTTTAATTCCAATTTGATGCTCAAGTCTCTGTAAAAGAATATCATGGTCAATGGTGTCAAATGTAGCACTAAGATCTAATAAGGTCAGTGTTCATCCTTTCCTGATGCCTTCTCTATCCTTTCTCGGATGACCTGTTAAACATGGCAGACTCAGTGTTACTTGTAAAATAGCATATGGTACAGTATAATATAATACAGCATAACTAATATAAGGCTTCAACAGCTCATTGTAGCTCAGTAGGGTAGTCTATTAAAGTTTATTAAATAAAAAAAAAATGAAGAAACGGATTACATGGGACCTTTACTATAACTGTAATTTATGTTGTGACAAACCAAAAGCTCATAAATACAGTAAAAGTTCCCAGTGAATCCCCATTCCCTCTGAACTTTTTATATACTTTTATACAATACGAGACAATGATACACTAGAAGTGCACTTATCAATAATACTAGTACTGCAGTAAGGCTAACTTTGTGCTTGTACTACTGGTAGCGGGCCACTACAGCTGCTGCAGTACACAAACTTACCAAACAATTGAACTCCTGCAGTTTGATTGTTTCTTTCTTACACATAGCTCTATCGTTTGTATCTTTCAAGTGAACTTCCATACAGTAGCAACACACACTGTGCCTGCTCCATTACTTTGATGAACATCAGTAAGTTTTATGAAGTCTTTCATGGAACACAACTCCCATTTTGGAGTTTTTCACAATAAAACTTTCACATCAGCAGATGACCTGCACATTAATGAGAAGGCTCATTAATAAGGTTGCATATTGAAAACATAACTTAATTTACCTGCTCCATATTACTTTAACATCCACCAAATAACGGTTGCCTTTCTGTTTCTCAGAACAAGACCTAAAATGAAATTAATCTCTGACCATGCATTTACAGAGATGGCCATCAATCCAATTAGAGCAAATATCAGCTGATCAATTGGAGAATCCTTCAAAAATAATAATGATAATCTTGCTGGCGTGATTATGCTATATTTTTGACATCATGTTGCAGGCCGGAGGGAGGGGGATGGCAGGCCTAAAATGGCCTTTGGGCTGGCAGTTTAAGACCCCTGTTCTAAACAGTGCCTGTGGCTAAATGTTCATCAACAAATCATTTTAGTCATAAAGAAATGTCTCCACAGAGAGAAGAAGAGGAGTCATGTTTCTGTGGAGGAGCAGCTGTCCTGCTGTTTTTTGTGTCAGGACGTCCTGAAGGATCCAGTCTCTACCAGCTGTGGACACTGGTTCTGCAGACAGTGCATCACCTCATACTGGGACCAGTCTGCTTCATCAGGAGACTCCTCCTGTCCCCAGTGTGGAAAAAGATCCAGAACAAGAGCTGGACTGCAGACAGCCAGTCAGACCAGCACTGTACTAAGTAAGACATCTGTCTGCTGATGTCCTCATATCTGAAAACAAGAGAAGAACATTTGTTTAACTTTGTTTTATATTATTACGAATATAGATTGAAAAACATTTTTACTTCTGCATATTCTTGTTTTCTGTTCAGTCTCACATTTATTTTTTGTCTTTCAGAAGATAGTGGTCTGCAGGAGGTTTTGGATGAATATAAGATCAGTTTAAAGAGGAAATGTAAATATGTGACTGAAGGAACTGATGAAACAGGAAGTGGAACCCTCCTCAACAGGATCTACACTGAGCTCTACATCACAGAGGGACAGAGTGAAGAGGTTAATACCCAACATGAGGTGAGGCAGCTTGAGACAGCTTCCAAGATGGAGACCCTCCATGACACTCCAATCAAGTGCCACGACATCTTTAAAGCCTTACCTGACCAACAGAGCCACATCAGAGTGGTTCTGACGAACGGCGTCGCTGGCGTTGGAAAAACCTTCTCGGTGCAGAAGTTCACTCTGGACTGGGCAGAGGACTTGGAAAACCAAGATGTCAGTCTGGTGGTTCTGCTTTCGTTCAGGGAGCTGAACCTGATCAAAGATGAGCAGTACAGTCTTCTCACACTGCTCCATGTTTTCCATCCAACATTACAGAAGGTCACAGCAGAGCAGCTCGCTGTCTGTAAACTTTTGTTCATCTTTGACGGCCTGGATGAAAGCAGACTTTCACTGGATTTCCACAACAATGAGGTTGTGTCTGACGTCACACAGAAGTCTTCAGTCAACGTGCTGTTGACAAACCTCATCAAGGGCAATCTGCTTCCCTCGGCTCTCGTCTGGATAACTTCCAGACCTGCAGCAGCCAATCAGATCCCTTCTAAATGTGTTGACCGGGTAACAGAAGTACGAGGCTTCACTGACGCCCAGAAGGAGGAGTACTTCAGGAGGAGATTCAGTGATGAAGGTCTGTCCAACAGAATCATCTCACACATCAAGACCTCCAGGAGCCTCCACATCATGTGTCTAATCCCAGTCTTCTGCTGGATCACTGCTACAGTTCTGGACCACATATTGACTATAGACCAGAGAGGAGAGCTGCCCAAGACCCTGACTGACATGTACTCACACTTCCTGCTGGTTCAGACAAAGAGGAAGAAGGAGAAGTATGATGAGGGACATGAGAAGAGTCCACAGGAGCTGACGGAGGCTGACAGGGAAGTTCTTCTGAAGCTGGGGAGGCTGGCGTTTGAACAGCTGAAGAAAGGAAACATCATGTTCTACCAAGAAGACCTGGAGCAGTGTGGTCTTGATGTCACAGAGGCCTCTGTGTACTCAGGAGTTTGTACAGAGATCTTCAAAAGACAGTGTGTGATCTTCCAGAAAACAGTCTACTGCTTTGTTCATCTGAGCATTCAGGAGTTTCTGGCTGCAGTCTTCATGTTCCACTGTTACACCAACAGGAAGACAGAGGTACTGGAAGACTTCCTGGAAGATGATGGTGATGGTGGGGATGGTGATGATGGTAATGATGGTGCTGATGATGACAGAGACAATGACCATTACCCATACCTAGTTGACCTGGAAGATGAGGATTATGGTGGGGATAGTGATGATGGTGATGGCGGTGCTGATGATGATAACATAAACAATGAACATTACCCATCCCTAGACGAATTCCTGTCTAGAGCCATGGAGAAATCACTTGAAAGTAAAAATGGCCACCTGGACCTGTTTGTTCGCTTCCTTCATGGCCTCTCTCTGGAGTCCAACCAGAGACTCTTAGGAGGCCTGCTGGGTCAGACAGACAACAGTCCAGAAATCAACCAGACAGTCATCGACAACCTGAAGAAGATGAACAGTGATCATATCTCTCCTGACAGAAGCATCAACATCTTCCACTGTCTGATGGAGATGAACGACCACTCAGTCCATCAGGAGATCCAAGAGTTCCTGAAGTCAGGGAGCAGATCAGAGAAGAAACTCTCTGAGATCCACTGCTCAGCTCTGGCATACCTGCTGCAGATGTCAGAGGAGGTTTTGGATGAGTTGGACCTGGAGAAGTACAATTCATCATGGGAAGGACGATGGAGACTGATCCCAGCTGTGAGGAACTGCAGAAAAGCTGTGTAAGTACATAAACAACATTATTAAGCATCATGTATCTGAAGACATTAGACATCAGACACTTTACACACATGCACAATATAAAACTTTTCTTAGTTAAGTTTTATAATAACTGTAATTTTTTATTATAGCTTAAATTTTAAATTGTCTGTCATCACAGACTGTCTGCCTGTGCTCTCTCAGAGACTCACTATGAAGTTGTGGCCTCAGCTCTGAAGTCCAACCCCTCCCATTTGAGAGAGCTGGACCTGAGTAAGAACCAGTTGCAGGATTCGGGAGTGAAACTGTTGTGTGCTGGACTGGAGAGTCCACAATGCAGACTGGAGACCCTGAGGTCAGTTCATGTATTTTACTCTTGTACAGTGCATATCCACCAAATTGAAATCCATAACAGAGGTTCTGAGTTTAGAGACAGAGTGTGAAGCATATGTCTAAATGCAGCTGTAAGAAGTATCATGTCTGACCTCTGTCCAAAAACAGGGTACAGGTAATACGATTCTATTCAGAAAATAATGTCACTTCATGTTCTGACTCAACCAGTAAACAGGAGCACAAATAATACACTACATCTGTACAGGAAGGTACTATGTTACTATGTTACATGCAGGTCTCTTTGCTTAGTGCCCATTTGATCCAGTTATAAAGAAGACGAAAGGATGGAGCTCCTAGTCAGTCAGTGTGTATTCATGGAGAGGACAGTAAGGATAGTCTGAATCTGTGGTTTGTAAAGTTTTCTGTTTACTTAAATAGAAAAAACGTACTTAGTCTTGCTTATTCCATATTGTTCATGTTGGATATTTATTGAAAGCATCTGTCAGTATTTTTCATGTATTTTTCATGAAATAACAAATAAATGTTATGAATTGGAAAAAAATGAAACAGAAGTAACAACAATTTCTGATTTGATGATTATTCCAGACCTGACTGAGACCAGCAGCATGTTATTGATCAGTGTTGACATGAATATGTGTATGAATATTGTACTGACATTTGGGTGATTGTGATGATCCATAATAACACAATGACAAAGTCACTCTACTCATTTTAGAGAAAAGCTCATTGATTATGACATAGTAATGAGCTATACATTTAAAACCTGAACACGTCTGATTGGATTCTAAATATTTTTTTCTTCATCATTTATTCCTAATTCAGAATGAGTGTCTGCAGTTTGTCAGAGATCAGCTGTGATTATCTGGTCTCAGCTCTGAACTCCAACCCCTCCCATCTGAGAGAGCTGGAGCTGAGTAAGAACAAGCTGCAGGATTCAGGAGTGAAGCTGCTGTGTGGTTTTCTGGAGAGTCCACACTGTAGACTGGAGACTCTGAGGTCGGTTCACTGACTCTCTGTTACTGTTGTAGATCTGATATGTCTAATTAACAATTTAACCTAATTTATATTCATACATAACTTACATCCATAAAGTTGTACATTTCCTTTTCTTGGTCTAAATTTAGTCTCAAAGACTTCTGTTTGTTAAGGAAACTGTAGAAAATGTCCACTGTTAGTTGTTAAAGTAAATCCATGTTTCTAATGTTGGTAAATGCTAAAGTCTGTATACAGAAGTTCCTCTGAACTAATATTTGTTTAAGATTGATCAACTTCATTTAAGTAGAAATATTTATTCAGTTTCAGTTTCACATACAGCTGTTTAAAGCATCACTATAGTATCGATCCATTAATTACAGACCCGACTGAGATCAGCAGCATGTTATTGATCAGTGTTGACATGAATAGGTGTATGAATGTTGTGCTGACATTTGGATGATGTCTGTAGAAATTCACTTGTCACAGCAACATTTGAGTGAAATAAATACAGATATAAAAAACAGGAACATTTGCATACAGCAGGTCCAAGGTCTTATTGTCTCTGGTGGTGCATGTGACAAACTGGTGGAAGGTTAGGAGTGTGGACGAGAGAGAAACGTGGTTGAAGTCCCCTGTGATGATGATGAAGTCCCCTGTGATGATGATGAAGGCCTCCAGGTGTTTCGTTTGTAGTCACAGTGTGGATGACATCACACACTGCTTCTGCTTTCCCAAACAGAGGAATAGACAGTGATGATAATGATGAAGACCACTGTGAGGAATATAGACAGTGATGATGATGAAGACCACTGTGAGGAATATAGACAGTGATGATAATGATGAAAACCACTGTGAGGAATATAGACAGTGATGATGATGAAGACCACTGTGAGGAATATAGACAGTGATTCAATTCAATTTAATTCAATTCAATTTTATTTGTATAGCGCCAATTCATAACAGAAGTTATCTCAGGACACTTTTCAAATAGAGCAGGTCTAGACCGAACTCTTTAAAACATTAATTACAGAGACCCAACAGTACCACCATGAGCAAGCACTTGGCGACAAGGGCAAGGAAAAACTGCCTGTTAAAAGCCAGACACCTAGGACAGATCCTTCGGCTCTAGGTGGGTGGTCGTCTGTCTCGACCAGTTGGGGTGAGAGAGAGAGAGAGAGAGAGAGAGAGAGAGAGAGAGAGAGAGAGAGAGAGAGACAGACAGACAGACAGGTGCACAGCAACAACAGTATTGGCAATGGCAATCTAGCAGGACCATGGCAGGAGGCTCCACCAGGATCGACAAGAACCTGCGAGACGAGAAAGCACAAGAACTCCGGGGAAGAAGTGAAGTTAGTAACATGCATTAATGGGACATGAATGAGTGCAGAAAGAGAGAGGAAGGGAGGAGCTCAGTGCACCATGGGAAATCCCCCAATAGTCTAGGCCTATAGCAGCATAACTAAGGGATGGTTCAGGACTCACCTGATCCAGCCCTAACTATAAGCTTTATCAAAGAGGAATGTCTTAAGCCTACTCTTGAATGTGGAGAGGGTGTCTGCCTCCCGAACCACAACTGGAAGCTGGTTCCACAGGAGAGGAGCTTGGTAACTGAAGGCTCTGGCTCCTGTTCTACTTTTTGAGACTATAGGAACCACAAGTAGCCCAGCATTCAGAGAACGTAGTGTTCTAGTGGGGTAATAGGGTACTATGAGCTCTTTCAGATATGAAGGGGCCTGACCATGAAGAGCTTTATAGGTGAGGAGGAGGATTTTAAATTCTATTCTACATTTTACAGGGAGCCAGTGCAGAGAAGCTAGTACAGGAGAGATGTGATCTCTTTTTCTAGTTCCTGTCAGTACTCGTGCTGCAGTGTTCTGAATTAATTGGAGCGTTTTAATGGACTTATTGGGGCAACCTGATAATAAAGAGTTGCAGTAATCCAGCCTAGAAGTAACAAATGCATGGATTAGTTTTTCTGCATCTGTCTGTGATAGTGTGTGTCTAATTTTTGTAATATTACGTAAATGAAAGAAGGCAGTCCTGGAGGTCTGCTTCATGTGGGAATTAAATGACAAATCCTGATCAAAGATAACTCCAAGATTCCTGACAGTGGTGCTAGAGGCCAAGGTAATGCCATCTAGAGTAACTATATCTTTAGACAGTGAGTCTCTAAGGTTTTTGGGGCCAAGAACAAGAATTTCGTTTTTTTCTGAGTTTAACATCAGAAAATTGCAGGTCATCCAGGATTTTATGTCCTTAAGACATGTTTGTAATTTAGATAATTGATTAATTTCATCGGGCTTGATTGATAGATATAACTGCGTATCATCTGCATAACAGTGAAAGTGACAGTGATGATAATGATGAAGACCACTGTGAGGAATATAGACAGTGATGATAATGATGAAGACCCCTGTGAGGAATATAGACAGTGATGATGATGATGATGATGATGATGATGAAGACCACTGTGAGGAATATAGACAGTGATGATAATGATGAAGACCACTGTGAGGAATATAGACAGTGATGATAATGATGAAGACCACTGTGAGGAATATAGACAGTGATGGTGATGATGAAGACCACTGTGAGGAACATAGACAGTGATGATGATAACACTGGAAAGTTCCCGTGGCAGATAACATGGACGAAGTCCGGGCTGCAGACGCTCTTTCACACAGACGTGCCCGGCGTTACACCACCTGATGTTTATGAGCACGGACAGTCCCCCTCCTTTCTTCATGCCGGTCGCGGTGGTGTCCCTGTCGGCTCCAACCGCCTGGAAGCCGGGAATGGTGACGTTGGAGTCCGGTATCTGCTCGTGTAGCCACATTTGTTTCCAGTGATGACTGCAGGGATGAAGAGTTTAAACCTCCTCTTCTTCATCCTCCGTTTAACCCCCGCTCTGCAGCCTCACCGTCTCCTCAGCTCATCCGGTATGGAGGGTCTCTCTCCAGTCAGGATGCTCGGGTGCCTCAGGGCGATCATCTGGTCGCGGGTGTAAACAATGCGACTCTCCGTCGCCATGGAGACCCGCGCAAACAAAAAATAAAAAGTGCTCAAAAATGCCAAAAAAGTATTTAGACGACGTGAACAAAGTAGTAAGAAAGTAAGAAAAGAGAAAACACACTGAAAACCCACATGTTCAGTAGGATGGAAGCTCGGACATTGAACAGGCAAAGATAGACGCTGCTTCTTATGTCGCTGATGTACGCGACGTTGCGCCATAAAGCAATTTGTGCTTCTCGCCAGATTTGTCGGGGGCGCCAAAATGTGTTTAACTCACATCCAACGATTCACAAACAAACTCAGTGTGGTTGGCAAATACAAAACATCATTCACAAACTAATGCATCTTGTTTTGCAAATAAGAAACGTACCTATCAAACAAATACATCAAAATAAGTCGAAACTATGAGAAAAGAAGTGCGCATGCGCCTCAATGGCAGTTGGGAATATAGTCACAGATTCGCACTTCCCATTGAGGCGCATGCGCACTTCTTATCTCATAATTTCGACTTACTTTGAGGATATTTTTATATCAGAATTTGGGGTGCGGGGGGGGGATCGTCCTGGCGGCCTTAAATTGACTCAACAGCGTCACCTGCTGTTGTGGAGTGCGAATTACATTTGTTAGAAAGTTTACTGGCATTTGTGTGGGGATCAGCAAGGCGTAAAATTAGTCACAATCACTTGACAGTTTTTCGTACTTGTAGAATTGTTTTTTGTACTTGAAAGATTTTAGTTTGTACTTGGAGGATATTTTTTTGGAATTGAATAAATATGTTTCTATTTGTTTCTGAAGCATGATGTATTTGTTTGATAGGTACGTTTCTTATTTGCAAAACAAGATGCATTTGTCTGTGAATGATGTTTGGTATTTGCCAACCACACTGAGTTTGTTTGTGAATCGTTGGACGTGAGTAAAACACGTTTTGTGTGTGTGTGAGGTTTTGGCATGATTCTAACTCCATACGCCATCTTCAGACTTGCATTGCTGGTTCTGCCAGCGGTGTCCCTCCCCAGCTTTGTTATCGGGATGATTCGCTATACTACGAGTTTGTTTACCATTGAAATGACTTCGAAGCTGTTATATTAAGGTAAAAATCTTGCATGGTGTGCCTTTAAAACCTGAACACATCTGATTGAATTCTAAATGATTTTATCTTTTTTTTTTATCTATCTTTTATTCTTTATTCAGATTGAGTGACTGCAGTTTGTCAGAGATCAGCTGTGATTATCTGGTCTCAGCTCTGAAGTCCAACCCCTCCCATCTGAGAGAGCTGGACCTGAGTGACAACAACCTGCAGGATTCAGGAGTGAAGCTGCTGTGTGAGCTTGTGGAGAGTCCACACTGTAGACTGGAGACTCTGAGGTTTGTAGTTAGTTGAAGTCAGTCCATGCTGATTAGCCCATTGTTGGTTCTTTGAACACTACAGTTATCTTCAATCAAAGTGACAGCTTTGCTCAGTAAGATTTAAAGGTGTGAGAGGAGATTGTGTTTGTTCAGAACTGAACTCACATTTTCATTACTTGCATCAGTGGCTCATCCATCAGCTTCTCAGCCACCAGCTGACCAGTAACGTTCAATCATATTCATACAGGTGTACAGAGCATTAGTTCTCCTCCTTACTGAGAGCAATAATGAGAGAGTCATTATTGGCTATAAATGATCAATTCCCTGACATAATTCTATCTGAAATGTATTGTTATATATACTGTATGTCTTTAATCTTCAGTATAGTGACTCATTCAAAGAAAGACAAGGACAGCTCTAGGTCTCCAGGATCCAGCTGGTCTAAATACATACTTCCAGACTTCAGTGATGAACCTGGACCTTCAGACTTGAAGTAAGAAAAAGTTTCTACTGTAAAATTACCTAAACTGTTTACACAAAGAAATACAATTCAATAATGAACCTTACTGTGATCATTCAATCACTTCATTTACACCCCGACCGACCACATGCTAGCAATGTTTGTCTGTCTATTGGATGCATTAAGATGACATTTTGTTCAGACATTCAAGTTCCCCTCAGGATGAATTAGCTTTGTAGCTTTGTATGATTCACTATTCAGAAACATCTTTAATGATCTGATACTGGCCCTTCATACAGCCCCTCAGTTCATCATCTGTCTGAAGAGGCGTCTCTTTAAGTCCCGCCCTTCCTGAAAGGCCAGTGTCCTCTGATTGGCTGACTGAAGCCTGCTGAAGGGCTGCACCCAGTGCTAGTGAACACTGATTCATGAGAGACCAATCTTACATTTTTATTTTACTTTATTCAGTGATGTTCATGAAATATTTCATGGAGAAAGTATTTGCTCTTCCTTCTGATGTCCTCCAGATGCTCAGGTGAGGAGGGTGGTATTGTGTGAACTTAATTGGTAATGGTTACAATTCACCTGGTACACATCAGTATGTCAGCATTGTCATTGTGAGCATGTTTACATGCTGATGTTAGCATTTAGCTCCAAGCTCCACTGTGTGTAATTACAGCCTCACTCTCTTCATGAGAGATAACTGTTGTATTTGTGTTTATTCCTACAGGGTGGACGACAGAGAATACAGGGCTACACCTCATAAACATGAAGGATGTGAGTAAACACCCACTGGATGTGTTAAAGAAACTTAAACTGGTATTAAAGCATAACTGGGAGATTGGCTGCTGTGGGCTTCATGCTGCTGGTTAATCCCAATAACCACTGCAGATCTTTTGTTCTGTTCTGCATGTTGGGAAAGAGGATGTATTGTTGTCTTTGTTGCCTTTTACATATGTTTACCTCATTATTTGAAACTTTGGTCCATTTAATGTGAACATCTGATGTTGTAAGATTATATATAAGACAGAATGTAAGGGAAAGCATAATAAGGTGACCTGTAAACATGACTGTGCTTGGTCTTGAACTGTTCACATTATTATTTATTATTACATTATTTACATTTGGACTCTATTGGGTTTGTCAGTAGATAACAACAGGACACATGAAGGGAAAGATATGCTACAGAGGGCCTCGTCCAGCCTTGAACTGGAGACGTTGCTGTTTCAGGTTTTATGAATGTTGGGTCACCAGGATGTCCTAAAGTGAGTTTGACATCTGCTGTGTGTCTTCTTGTCCCCATGCGATGGTTCTAATCACCCACCAGATCCGTCCACATCAAGCACAGTCCTGGATGTGTCTGAGGACAGCAGAGAGGAGAGTGTGGATGAAGAAGATCAGCTGTGTCCTGATGATCCAGAGACACTGAAGCAGCAGCAGCTTGTGTGTGGAGAGGCTCTGAATACAAATGTCAGTTTTTAACTTTAACATTTTTATTCATCTGTCAGTGATCAGACTCTGGTTCCTTAGTTTTACCCCCTCCAGGGTTGAATATTTCTGACCTTCTAAATTCTACTAATATTAAACTACCAGCTGCTGTCCAACGTAGTCCTGCAGGCTTTACGTAGAGTAGAAAGTGAAGCAGTGAGGATCCTGTCACCTGTAGCCAGTTTCTGCTCCCATCTCAATGTGTTCTAATTAACTCTCCAGTCCAGTTTCATTAACTAAGTTTGTGCCTTTTTCAATTTTAGGACAAGTTAAGCTTCACACCAGAACTGCTGACTGAGTCTGGAAAGAGTTCATACAGGTAACCAGATCATAAAATGCAGAATACTTTGATGTTCGACATGTCACTCAAGGTCTTGTCAACAGAAAACTAAGCTTTGATTTTTTTTTTATTTACTTGTTAGACTAAAGTGTATTCACATTTTCATTAGCTACTAAAATAATCCAGATGTCTCAACATAAATATCACTTAATGGACATCTAATTCTGTATCACAAAGTCAGTTCCTTTGTTCTGTTTTCTGAGTCCTTAAGTCCTCAGCAGGCTCATGAAAACTCAGATCAAACTGTCAAAATAGGCAGTGCTGATCAAATATGAGTCAAGTTACTGGGTTGACAGTTTGTCTCCTCAAGTGAAGACAAACATATTTCAGTGTACTGTCTAGCCATGAAATGGGCAGTTCGGAAACCAGGCATCAGTCAAATCTCATTTTCGTCACCCACCAGCCAGAGCGTTGTCCCAGTGCAACCAGATCCATCGTCGCCAGATTCTGCCTTTTCTGATTCTGTGCGCCATAAGTGTCATCCTTGAGGGCTGCAGGGTTTCCTTCTTGACCCAGAGGTCTTGGAAAAGGGGGGAGTAGGAAAAGTTCAGTTGTCTGTGGCCCCTTTTCCACCAAATTTGTTCTGGATCTTGGACCATTCGATATTACTTGAACCTTGCTGGTGTCCAGCGAAGCAGCCTGCGTTTCAACCAGTTTTGAGTGGAACCTTTGTAATCAAGGATCCATCAGCAACAGAGAGCGCTTCACAACCACCTATAGAATATGACATGCCCACTTTGGTTCTCAATGAAAAACAGCGGGAAACCAACTTTTCAGTTCTTAAACCAATTTATATTTGGTCAGAAAGCTCAGTTCAAATGGTTCCAAACTAGGTGCTGGTCTTAACTCAACAGATCATGTGACCAACAGGCTGAAAGCTTGAAGCAATCAACCCTTCTATGTCCTACAGGTTCAGGTGTCCTGGTCCAGGTTTGTTCCAGTGTACTTTGACTGGAATGGTGTTTGTTTTGGCTCAGGAGGCAGAACTGCTGTACAAGACTGTCCAATGGGATGAACCCCTCCTCCAGTCAGCTGGAAAGACGCCTGCAGGGCTGCTGTTCGATATCAAGTGTTCAGAAGATGCTGCTCTCTGTCAGCTCCACCTCCCACACTGTGAAATGGATGTGGATGGTAAGGATATTATTGTGCTTTGTGAGTATTCCATGTCTTGCTCTTGGAGTGACGACCACTCCCGGGGAGAGTAGAAATGGTGTTCCATTTCCTCCATTTGTACACATCTGCCTGACAGTGGATTAGTGGAGAGCAAACTTTGATAGTGACGACCCAGGTTTATGTTTTTTCAATGGGGCTGGGAGTACAGAAGAGCCACCAAAAACATTCTGGAGGCTGCTGAGAAGGGTGATCCATGGAGCAGGAGTCAACACCCCTGGCTGGGTTGCCCAAGGGGGGGTGTCTGATGATTAAAGTCCTAAAACAACTTGTGACACTGGGGTCGTCACTGAAGGTGAAGGTGTCCAAGTAGAACAAGTCAAGTCAGTTTTTATTTATATAGCCCAAAATCACTAAACAAAATTTTCAGGGGGCTTTACAGCCATAGAGAAGGGATTTCTCCCCCAGGGTGGACAGACATGCAATAGATGTCGACCCAGACCCACAAAATCACATCCTATAAAACACTTTTAACTCGTGTCTTGGGAATATAATAAAATTAGGACTAATATTGCACTGAGGTTGTTATCAGTAAAACAAAAGTCTGACTGCTCTGTGTTTTCACAGCTCTTCTGCCTGATGGTCTGTTGTCTGTCGTCCACATCACTGATGATGGAATGAGCATCCTGGAGCCGCTGCAGATTACAGACACTCATGTCATTGTGGAAGTGCCTCACCTCTCTATCTTCGGCCTGATCTGGAACATTAGGAGGTTGTGGATGAAACCAGTTAGTGGCCAAGTTCTGCTGTTCCTCGGACCACCAAACCCAGAGACAGAAATACAAAAACTGAACGTGATTCTCCTGCCGTGCAACATCAGTCTGGACGAGGTAAAGCTTCACACTGCAGATCTGTAATGAGATTGACCTGCTGATTGATCAGTTGGGCTCTTCTGAGGATAAAGCCTCTAATTGAAATGTTCTGATGCCTCTTAAGGTCAGGAAACAACAGCGGAATTATCAAAACATCATGGCCACTTCCACATGTGAACTTTTCAAAGGCGAAAGTTACACTGTTCACTGTCCTGAGGCCGTCAAAATACAGCCTAAGGTGAGTGTTTTAGATAAAAGTCATGAATTATTAAACTGCTGTGTTCTACCTTTAATAGAGAGAGAGAGAGAGAGAGAGAGAGAGAGAGAGAGAGAGAGAGAGAGAGAGAGAGAAACTGACACTTTGGTTTCAGACAGCACATTTTGTCCTGGAGTTTGGACCAAATTACCACCCGACGTTTGAGATCCGCCTGCCTACAAACACAAAAGAAGTGACTTTAACGGTCCGAGACCAGAGACAGAGGGAGGTCTGGGAGCATGACGTTGATCTGATTGGTAAAGTCTTCATTCACCTGCAGCATCACTCCACCTGATAGTACAGCAGATAAGAATAGAGCAGCAGTTATTGTTGGTCCGGTGCCTTTCCCATACTCTGCCTTAGATAATTTAACCAATATTACACCATTTCAGACCAAAATTTCAGTGGGCATTTGACACAA